TGCTGCTACAGTTGGGTACATTCCTGCAATGTATTGGTTAGGATATTGTTATCAATATGGAGCGGGTGTTAAACGGAATTTAGAAAATGCTGCCAACCTTTATCAAGAAGTAATTCAGAATGGAGACTATTGTGATGCAAGAAAAAACTTGGTACGTCGATGATTTCTAATTTAATTTTACTGCACACTTTTAACCCAATAATAACAATTCTTTTTTTTTAGTCTAAACTAGGGAAGTTCGATTTCCGGGAGCTATTTAGGATCTTTAACTTTTAAAAAAGATAAATAACTATATAAATAAGTAGATAATGACGTGTTTCCGCAATTTCGACAGTTTTCTATCATTATACACTCCGGAGATATAAGAAGCTTCCATTATATCTACAAAAAGATACGCGAGTGCTGCAGTAAATAATATTAAAATTTTGTTAATACATAATAATAGACATTTTAGATAGACATAATTTATAGAGATTAAGTATACAATGTATTTATTTGTACTTTATGTTAAGGCAAAAAAAAAATTTTTTCTAAGGCGAAAAGTAGTAAACGCAAAACTTTATTAAACAATTTGACTTATGTTAATACATCAAAAGGTCTAACATATGAATTTTTAAAATTTTAATTAAGTATATTACATTTGAATAATATATTTATTAAAAATTTTTTTCTTTTTTTTTAAAAAAAAAACTATACAAAAATATATTACCACTGTATTGCTTATTTCATTTTTAAAGTTTTGATATTAAATAGATGTTTTAACGATTCTATACCTAGCATAATATATAATATAATATTGATTTTTAAATTTTTTTACTTTTTTGATAATCGATTAAATTAAATTTTTCTATATACTGTAATTTTTATTAATTAATTTGCAACTTTATTATATTTCTATTTGCTTATATTGAATTAATTAAATTAATATTTAAAATAATTAAGTTACATAAAATAAAAATTTTACAAATTTTACAAAAATTAATTTTAAATAAATATATTTCAGCTTGATACTTTAAAAATATAACTTATTATTTACAATTTATCATTATAATTTATTTAACAAAATCTTGATTATATTATATATTTAATAATTTTTTATATTTTTAATTTTATTATTTGTTATCTTTATAAAAATGTTTATAAAATTATTATTGTTTATTAATTAATATAAAAATATTAAAAGTATTATATTATTTGTTTATTTTTTAATATTAAAATATTTTTTGAACTTTATTTTTTCTTTTATTTAAATATTGTTTTTTATATTCTTAAATTTTTTTATATTTTACTTTTTTTTTTTTGGTAAATAAATATCATTTCTTTATTTAGTTTGTATATATCAAGATATATATTATAAAAAAAACATTTCTCATGTGTTAGTACAATAGATTAAATGATAGCTTGCCTATAGTAACCATTTGACTAATATTGAAAAGAAATTTAAAACAATATATCTTGTCAAATAATACTAAGTAGCTATAAATACCTACTTAATATTAGAAGAAAAGATATTAGGTAATAATAAGATTAACTTTTGAATACATTTGAAATAATTATATTTACATTAAATAAAATATATTAGTAACTATATTAAATAAATCAATGGTAATTTTCTTCAAAGAAGTATTAGTCAGTATAATTTCAATTTAAAAGGTATAACTATTAATTGGTTCAAAGAAATAAAGTGAAATAGAAGGTTTATTGAAATTCTATTTAATTTTAATAGATGGTGAAATATTAACTATAGAGCAATATAATTTCCAAATAAGATTATATAACTGGATTACTGTTTCATTGATTGCTTCAATTTTGTTGAAAAATTTTATTTATAATGTTATGGAACAGTTCAGATACTTGCCATATATGTAAGATTAGTTTTTGATTACTGTTTGAATAAAGAATTTGATTGATATTTTTAATTATTTGTTCAATCCCAATAGAGGCCTCAAAGCATTTGAAAATATAATAAATATCTTTAGTATAAAACTAATATCTTGAGCACCAGGCATCTGGGTATTAATTGAAGTATAGTTAATAAAAAAGTTTAACAAATAGATAAAGTATTTAAGAGTAGTTTGATTCTAAATACAATTATGTTGCTATAGCTATTATTATATAATTTTTTGATATTTTTATTGGATTTGATAATGACTTTTAAACCATATGGAATATATCCATATTCAAAAGTTTAAATGATAAAAGAACTTTCACAGATCATATAATCTCTAATAATGCTAAAGATTTTTTTGCACTATCTTATACTACTACCGAGACATATATTGTTAATTAGTAGATTTTCTGAAAAATATAATAAGGGATTGTTTCACTGAATAGATCTGGTTGATACTGATTTGGATTTAAGTTTGATATATACCATCTATATTGATTTTTGCTATATTTGGAGAATTATTCTTTGAATTGGTGCTAAGAAGTTAATCTTTACTATTCTTTTGGAATATTTAAATACCAGTTGAAAAATTTTTTTGTTATTTTTGATTTCAATAGTATTGTAATACTGGTTATATTGAACAATATTGAATATTACAAGTAATCTATTGCTTAATATTAAACAGGAGTTAAAAAGTTTGACTTTGATATTATTTATGATTAGGTTATTTTTGTAAAGTTATATATAAATATGTTACTGTAAATTGAGATAATAGGGTTTGAAAGAGAGGGATAACAAGAATACTAATTTCTTATAAGATATATTTATTGTTTTATAATAAGTTAGAGATTTTGTCTATTATATTAAATAAATGATATTTTTAATTACTGAAAGAATTAACTTGAATATATTTAATAGAATCCTTGAAAGAGCAAACCAGTTGAGCAGTCAGTTTTTATATTTTAATTTTATATTAATTGGTAAAATTTTTTATATTATAAATCATTAAAAAATTTTATTAATTATATAAGTATTTATTTATTTTATAATATTTGATTGATTTGTTGTTATTGCTATATTAATAAATTAATTTAAATAATACAATAAATTTTAATTAAACAATTATTATATATTAATTGATTAAAGTAATAAGTTAATTTTAATTTTTGAATTAAAAAAAAAATCATGAATTTTTTTAAATAATATAATAAGTAATATTAATTTAAAGATATTTATAAAAATTATATTAAAAAGTATTTATAAGTTTAATAAATATAAAAATAATAATTTAGATAATAATTTAGATAATAATTTAGATAATAATTATAATATTATAAGAATATAAAATAAAACTAAACAAAAAAATAAAACTATATTGTTATAAATTTTTTTTATATAATTAAAATAAGTAAAACTTTCAAATTTAAATTTAATTATATTAATTATTTTTAAATTTTTTAAGTTTTTAATTAAAATCTACTTGTAATAAAAAAAAGAAATATAATTAAAAAAAGAAAAATTAATATTTTTTTAAATTTAATAAAATACATATTTAATATCATTAAATATTTTTTAAATATTATATGCAATAAACTAATAATAACTTATTTTATAATTAAAAGTAAAGATACTTAATATAATAATTATAAATTCTTATTTAATAATTAAAAGTAAAGATACTTAATATAATAATTATAAATTCTTATTTAATAATAGCTTTATATTTAATATTTTTTTGAACAATAATTTTTAACTGATTTTATACTTTTGTATTATTAAGTAATTGTATTTCTGAATTATTAAAATATTTTCTTATTTAAGTTATAAAAACTTTTTTATAAATAGTAATAAGTATAAATATTTTCAAAGGTAAATTATTTTTATAACTTATTTTTTATTAAATATTTGAAATAATTAAACATAAACTTTGATATTTATATATAATAATTTAATTATTAAAGTTCTTATAAAATAAACTCTTTCCCACAACACCTCCATCCTCTAGACAAAGTTCCTTAGAAGAAAGAAA